TTCACTTAATTCAAATAGATAACCAGTTGTCCCAGAACCATTACTTGATCTATCTATACTTTCTTCACTTATCTGCAGTGCCTGAGTTGATATAAATCATTTTCAGATATGCTTAATATTATTTTTAGTTTGATTACTTTTTAAAATTAATTAATTTTTTATTGGAATAAAGTTGCTATACAATATTATATTGGTTTCAGATGTAAAACATATTGACTCAGTAATTATATATATTACTAGATGCTTGCCAGGGTAATTGTAGTTCCACTTGTTATCACATCAAGATATTGTAATGTTTTTGGTTACATTCTATATCTTGTACTTCCATTCCTATAACTAATTAATTTTAGAGTTTGCAATTTATACATCTTTATCCCCTCCACCTATCTCACCCATCTCCCAGCCCCCTCTCCATGGTAACCAGTAGTCTGTTTTCCATATTTGTCTATTTCTTTTCTGTTCTTTTTGTGTCTTTAGATTCTACATAGAAGTGAAATCATATGGTATTTGTCTTTCTCTTCCTGACTTATTTCACTTAGCATAATACTTTCTAGGTCCTTTTATATATCTTTGCTATGGTGTATTATGCTGTAGTGAACATATGTATGCATATCTTTTCAAATTAGTGATTTTGTCTTCTTTGGGTAAATTTCTACAAGTGAAATTGCTGGGTCATATGGTATTTCCATTTCTAGTTTTTTGAGGAACCTCCATATTGTTTTCCACAGTGGCTGGACCAATTTACAGTCCCACCAACAGTGCAGGAGGGTTCCCTTTTCTCCACAGCCTTGTCAACACTTACTATTTCTTGTCTTTTGGATAGCGTCTGTTCTGTCTGGTGTGAGGTGGTAAATCATTATAGTTTTGATTTGCATTTCCCTGATGATTAGTGATGTGGAGCATCTTTTCATCTTTCTGTTAGTCATCTGTATGTCTTATTCAGAAAAATGTCTTTTCAGGTTCTCTGCCCATTTTTTATTTAGGTTACTTTTTTTTAGTGCTGAGTTGTATGAGTTCTTCATATATTTTGGATATTAGCTCATTATCAGGCATATAATTTGAAAATACATTCTCTCATATGGTAGGTTGCCTTTTTGTGCAGAACATTTTAGTTTGGTATAATCCTACTTGTTTGTTTTTGCTTTTGTTTCCCTTGCCTATGGACTCATATCCAGGAAGAAGTTTCTCATGTTGATGTTCATTAGATTCTTGCCTATGTTTTCTTCTAAGAGTTTTATGGTTTCATATCTTACATTTAAGCCTTTAATCCATATGGAGTTTATTTTTGTGTATGATGTAAGATAGTGGCCTAGTTTCATTCTCTCACATGTAGCTGTCCAGTTTTCTCAACTATTTATTGAAGAGACTGTCTTTTCCCCATAGTTTATTCATGGCTCCTTTGTCATAGATTAATTGACCATATATATGCAGGCTTATCCCTGGGCTATTTTGTCCATTTGATCTATGGGTCTGTTCTTATGACAGTACCATACTGTTTTAATCATTGTAGCTTTGTAGTGGAGATTGAAATCTTGGACCATGTTACCTCTAGCTTTGTTTTTCTTTCTCAAGATTGTTTTGGTTATTCAGGATCTTCTGTGGTTCCATATACGTTTTCCAATAACTTTTTCTAGTTCTGTAAAAATTTGCCATTGGTATTTTGATAAGGATTTCATTGAATCTGTAAACTGCTTTGGGCAGGATGGCCATTTCTACAATATTAATTCTTCCTATCCATGAGCATAGGAGAGATTTCCTCTTTTTTTGTATATTCTTCAGTTTCTTTCATCAATGTCTTATAGTTTTCAGACTAAAGGTCTTTAAACTCCTTGGTTATATTTATTCCTAGATATTTTATTAATTTTGATGCAATTATAAATAGAATTGTTTTCTTGATTTTCTTTCTGCTAGTTTGTTATTAGTATAAAGGAATGCAACACATTTCTGTATATTGATTTTGTATCCTGTAACTTTGCTGAATCCATTTATTAGTTCTAACAGTCTTTTGGTGGAGTCTGTAGGATTTTCTATATATAGTATCATGTCATTTGCAAATAGAGACAGTTTAACTTCTTCCTTACCAATTTGGATGCCTTTTATCTCTATATCTTATCTGATTGCCATGGTTAGGATCTCCAGTACTATGTTGAATAAAAGTGGTGAGAGTGGGCATCTTTGTCTTATTCTGATCTTAGAGGAAAAGTTTTCAGGCTTTTGCCATTGAGTATAATGTTGGCTGTGGGTTTGTCATCTAGGCCTTTATTATGTAGAGGTATGTCCCTTCTCTACACAATTTGTTAGGTTTTTATTATGAATGGATGTTGAATTTTGTCAAATGCTTTTTCAGCATCCATTGAGACAATCGTATGGTTTTTATTTTTCCTTTTGTTAATGTGGTTATCACATTGCATTGATTGACTTGTGGATATTGTACCAGCCTTGCATCACTGAAAGAAATCCCACTTGGTTATGATGAATGATCCTCTTGATATATTTTAAAATTTGGTTTGCTGATATTTTGTTGAAAGGTTTTTGGCTATATTCATCAGGGATATTGTTCTGTAGTTTTCTTTTTTGTGGTGTTTTTAGTTTCAGTGTTAGAGTAATACTGGACTCATAAATGAGTTTGGAAGTATTCCTTCCTCTTCTATTAGTATGATTATCTTTATTATCCCCCTTTTGTGTATTCTAATGCATTGTCTTTATTAACATAATTTTCTAACAGATGTCCATGTGTACATGAGAAAGTTCCTTCACCATCTTTCTCTGTCATATTATGGCTTTTTTGGGCTGTTTTTCCCACAAAAATTAGAGAATCAGCTTTTCAAATTTATTTTTTTAAAGTCATTGGAATTTTTATTGAATTTCATTGAATCTATAGATTTGCTTATATATGTTTAAAATATTGATTGTCCCAGTACCTGGAACCCTGAAATCTGAAATATCCTGTTAAACATGGTATTTTTTTAAGGTTATTTTAGTCTTTCAATGTATGGAATAATATTTGCTCATATGATGTTATTTTCACTTAAAATCTTCATAATGCTCCTATATTTGTATTGTCTTCCTTCATTAGCTAGGACTTCAAGTACAGCATGTTAATAATGTCTGTTTCTGATCTTAAAGAGAACATTCTAGATTTAATAGTAAAATATGACATATGCTATTTGTTTTAGATTATTTATCACATTTATTAATTAGGCAGGCAGACAGGAAAACATTTACTGTTTCTAGTGCCTACCAACTTTGTCAGATGCTTATACAGGCATTATCTCAGTTTACCCTGAATGATTGATATCACTAACCACTTTCAGAAACTGAGATTTTAAGAGGTGCATAATTGCCCCTAATGCAGTTAGCAATTAGCCAAGCTAGGTCTAAATTCATATTTTGGCTTACTTTCATTTTTCCTGAGTGTATCAGAAATATTTAATTGTGCTGGATCCCAATGTCAAGCCAGTTGTCACATTGAATTGACCAGGAAAGCAGGCACCTGAACTGCAAACTTTCAGGAACATGAATTAGATCAGCCTTATTCATTCCATTACCCATAAAGACTACCACTGGGCTTAACACTTAGGAGGTGCTCTACCAATGTTTTAAGTGTATGAATAGGAACAACCCCTATAGTTTGGATTGGGTTACCCTTACTATAACTGTGCCTCAGAATGTGGTGGGTTTGACCTGACACTAGTCTTCATCAGTAGTTGACTAGTAGTTGATTAGTAGTTGACTAGTAGTTGACTAGTAGGCAATGATTATTCCTCAAGGGCTCACTCTCTTGGAAAGTCCCTAGGTTCTTCAGTGCCCTGCCTTGTCTACTTGTAGCCTCTTATGGTACTTTTTGCATCCAAGGAGTCAGGTCATTAGGCATTGGTGCACTGATACCTTAATTTGAACTTTGATACAAAGACGTGAGTTATTTGACTATCAAATGAAAAGAGCCCTGAGATAAAAACCTATTGCCAAGGTAAGAGTGAGATCTCTTTTGGTATATGATCTTTAAGATTGCCCAGTGCCACTTACAATTCTATGTTGATAGTTTATCAGAAGGTGACTGAAGGTCAGATATTCTCATTTTTCTTGGCACAATACCATCACAACTTAAGAACTTGAACTTGAGGGAGCTTTTGGCTTATATTCTTCCTTTGGTCAAACTCATATTGGGAGAAGAATGCTCTTTCCAAACAGCCACATTTCTGTTTGATCTGTCTAACATCTTGTGTCATCCACATTGTTGCTACTAAATATGGAAAAACTGAAATGTATAGAAAATGTTGCAACTTCATTTATATGCTATTGCCATGATGATGAGCTAGAATTCTTACCAGTTTTGTATAAGCCAGCCCTACCCATCTGCTTGGTAAAATCAGGCAATGAATCAACAATCCAGCTGACTCCATTAAGCTTTCTATCATGCTCTCACCATCTAGAAGAAAAAAAATGTGTGTGCTCTATAGGAGATCTATTTAATTCCAAACCAATTCTTCTTTTTTTCCTCTTTGCTTTCCCCTCACCAATAATTTGTTATGGTTTCTCAGTGATGAAAATATTTGGCTCTTCACTGAGAAGATCTTTGAATATAAATGTCTCACTGAAAATTGAAATGATGCCTCAGTTGGTTGGAGAGAATTTGCAAACACATTGGAACCCATTGTTGCCAATAAAGTAGAACCATCCAATATGTGTTTATGGTACATGATTTGTGCCCCGGAGATTCACAGAACCACTTTCTCTGATCAGAGTTCTTGCAGTGATACTTAAAAATTAATTGAATTTTAAAGAATGTCAGCTTTAGCTATTTATTGCATTTGATGGCCCTATAGCTAAGGTTTATTAAAACTATACTGCCATCTACAGTACCATCTGACTGTCTTTGACAGCAGAATGTTAATTAGACAAAGACTTCATTTGGGGACTGATTATTGTTTTTGTTAAGATCTACTTATTTACATAGTATATTTCTTTACTTATGCACGCATGTATCTGTTTTCCTCCAGGAAAAGAAGAATATATTGCCACTTTCAAGGGATCTGAATACTTCTGCTACGACTTGTCTCAAAACCCCATTCAAAGCAGCAGTGATGAAATAACTCTGTCCTTTAAAACCCTTCAGAGGAATGGACTGATGCTTCACACTGGGAAATCAGCTGATTATGTCAATCTTGCCCTGAAAAATGGAGCTGTCTCTCTGGTCATTAATTTGGGATCAGGGGCCTTTGAAGCACTAGTGGAGCCCGTGAATGGGAAGTTTAATGATAATGCCTGGCATGATGTGAAAGTCACCAGGAATCTGCGTCAGGTAACAGCGCAGTGGATAAGAGAGAACTGGCTTTGTTTCTCGCTATAGCTGTATGTGTGGTACTTAACAACCCTAACAACATGATATAGGGCTCCTCAGAGTCACTTAAAATTAGCTTTATCTTCTTCTGAGATGAATCTTCCTGCCATACTTGAGCAGGGGCACATCTAGAAAGTTCTTGGGGCCCAAAGGCTATTTTGATACAGCGACATATTACAATTTCCCAGAGGGCTGCAAGGGTATCCCTGCGACCTGCCCTTCCTGTGATGTGTGTGATTTTGTTGTGTTTTGATTTTTTTGTTTGTTTGATTTTAAATTATAGTTTTCATGGTGATCATTTGGAAGCATGCACATTGGGGTCATTAAATCACAGTTCCTTTTTTGTAGTCAAAAAGAAACCAAAAAAACAAACAACAACAAAAAAGTGTGTTTGTGATTTGGGATTGTATCAATCCCTACTGCCTCCTCCACCTCTGACATGGGGACAAGAGAAGTCCCTGAAAAGTGACTTTGGGGGTTTACAAATTTTGAATCTGTTTATGAAGGTATATTTATTTTTAGCACACTTTAATTTGAACCCCAATGACTCTGGAGAAGCCAGTTTATCTAGGTGCCCATTTTTATTTGATTGTGCTTTTTTAAAAAAAACTTGCAAGAGTCTATCATTAAGAAAGTATCAATTCTTTAGTAAATTTATGGGTCCACATATACTGTATGTTTCTAGTTGAGACATACTATTACAGAATTTATTTATACAGAGATAAAAGTAAGTAGATTGTCCTTATATATTAAACATTTTAAGTTTTGGTTATTTGGAATTTTATGATATTATATTGTATCATTTTATTAAGTGTTGACAGTGACTAACTTCTCTGCAGTACATGCTGATCTCAAACTAATATCCTTAACATATTTGTTGTTTCTCTGAACAGTTGCAGAATGACTGGATTGTCTCTGGTTTTCCTCTTACTTTAACAGCCCTTCTTTCTGAGCTGTTAACAGTCTAACCTTTTCTTTCCTGCTTCTGAGAGGCATAAACTATCCGAAGTAGAGAAGCAAAAAGGAATTTTGGGAGTGTAGATTTAGCCTAGCTCAGACAGACAAGTAGAACTGAGGGATTCTGGAGACCCTCAAAGACCTTTAAGAGGCCTTATTGGCATGGGAGGGGCCCTGCATGCTTCATACCTGCCTTGGGAGATAGTTGCCCACCATCAGTGTAGCTTTAGACAACAGATTTCCTGTAAGTCTGTCTCTTTGGTTTTCCTTTTTTATTTTTTCTCTCAGATTCTCGCCAAGAGACCGGAGGCTCATTTGAGAGAAGTGCAGAAGGAAGGGTGGGGCTTGAGGAGCCCACTTTCTAGATTTGCCTTTGCTCAGGTTACAAACCATACTACAAATTGGTAGCACAGAGGAAACCGTGGTTATACAGCCGGGGTGCATGTGTGGCAGGACAGATCAAAAACAAATCCATTCTACTCATTCTGTGTGTCAGGATCTTTGCTTTGTTTCATTGCAGTAAACTGTGACCCTAAAGTCCATCAATATGACCGAAGGAAGTTTTGGAGTTGAGGAGGAGTCCTTGTATGCTGTAAAATTGAGTAGTAGGGCAATGCCAACTGATTCCTATGAATTTTCTGGGGTTGGGGTGGGCAAGGGTGGGGGAGGGAATCACTTATGGTCATAGGCGGCAGTGGTCAGCTGATGAGCTTTAGGCCTTTGAATCCCTTCTAGACTTTTTAAATGTCTGTCAGATGTACTCAGGGAGGCAAAGGGAACATTGCCATATGTCTGTTTCTACCTAGTAGCAAGTTATGAACAATACTGGCAGGAAAAATATTACTTCTGTGGGAGGCCTATTTGTTAGTCTGCTTTTTTCTTGTAAAATTTTTTTGCCCTTTTTCTATGTTACTAACATGCTTAATAACTAACATGTCATTCATGGAATGTTTCATTCTACTAACCGTTACCTGAATCAAAAAATGTACTAACATGGTAGAGACCATCATATTTTTTAAGTAACGATCGTTATTCTGTTCACAGTTTTTAATTTCCTTTCTCCCCCCTTCTCCACAAAGCACTCAGGCATTGGACACGCTATGGTAAACAAACTACATTGTTCGGTAGATATCATTCTAATTGTTTCTTATTTTGGGTTTGCCGTGTGTTTTCTTTCTTTCTTTTAACTGTAGACATCATTAACAAAAGAGGAACTGCGGTTGGTACTCTTCTGCTTACTTTGACCTCCTTCTTTTCATCTGTTGTTGACCTTCTTATTTTTTACCTGTTCCTGTCAACTTCTGTTTTCCAACTCACCTGTAGGGGCATCGTTAACGTTTCGAACGTTTTGCATCCAGCTGTGGTTAACACGGGATAAGACAAAATGGTGGCTGGCCCGAGTGACCGCAAGCTCAGCCAGTCTCTAACCATTCATAATGCATGGCATGCACACTTGATTTGGGAATGTTGGAGATGCCACACCCTCTCATCTTTACGTCATCACAAAGCAGTTGTGTTTTCCTTTGGTTCTCCCCTGTTTCTCTCCTTTCCTTTCTGAACCGTACTGGCCCCACTGCATGTGCACATCAGCGCGTGCTGCTTTCACTGTTGTTTTGCCCTTCCTCCCCTGGCATGTATTTAGGCACTTGCATGCTGAACAACTGCTGCTCAATAGTGCAAATAGTGGCGTTGCTGGAAATAGCTTGCGCCTTTTCTGTTAACAAGGTGCACGTTGTGACTAGCTGATAACAGACGACTAAACTTTACTAATGTGTACACCAGCAAAACTAACCTAGGAAGCATTTTACTAACACCATTTTTGTGTCTGCTAAGTAACTTTTGAGTTGCAGTAGGGATGATGCTGACACTAGTTCAATAATCAGCTAACTCTCTAACTAGTTTAGTCTCCTCTTAGGGCTAGTTGAATAGATTCCAAGAATAAACCTCAAACAGACATGAAAATGGGTTCCGCCATAGGTCTAAAAATAACAAAACAAACAAACAGAAAAAAAAGCAAAAAGCAAAATGAAAAAATAAAACAAAACAAAACACATAACAGGCATATCCCAGGATTACAGTATCTAGGTCTGAGTATAGCGTGTCCTTTCCCTGTGCTTTGTTATCTAGGTGACAATATCAGTGGATGGGATTCTTACCACAACGGGCTACACACAAGAAGATTATACCATGCTTGGGTCTGACGACTTTTTCTATGTTGGAGGCAGTCCCAGCACAGCAGACCTTCCAGGGTCACCAGTCAGTAACAACTTTATGGGCTGTCTCAAAGAGGTAAATATCACTGTCACCAGAATCATTCTTAACTCATGATCTCATCATTTCAGGTCCAGACTCCATGTCCCTTTGCTGATGACCTGATGTTGGTGGAGTCAAATGACACAGCTTTATATGCAGTATTCTGCTGTTGCTAATATAGGATTGGGGGAGGAGGGTACTCATGGAACATTCTGAAGGAATTAAGTCCTTTTTTGGTAGTCTGTAACTAATTCACAATTAAGGTTTGCATGGGCAATTAGGTATTAACTATAAAAGAAAGTAAAACACAAAGAAATATTGGGTTGAGAATTAAGCTAAATGATTTGCTCAATTCTACGTAAATGCCTTTGGTGTTACTGTGTACAGTGGCAACTTGTTTGAACATCACAGGAAAAACGAAGAAAAAAAAGTAGGCCACAGGAGAGAAACTGTATTAAGCAAAAACAAAATGAGTCTGTATGTTGAAAAAAGCTATTCCTTTTGTTGTCCGGTAAGCTTACTTGATATTTACCTGAGCAAAACTATCAGGTTAAAAGATATCAGTAATTATGTCCTTCATTCTCAGCTGTCATTATCTGTTGTAACTTTTGATAGGATTGGAACTTACTGGGGAACAAGGGTAGAAAAAGCAGGAAGCCCTTGAATTTCAACTTGAATGAATATTTTTCCATAAAAGCTGCCTATTTTCATTTGGATACAACCCGGCTTCTTTTGGTTGCCAGACCCAGAGATTCCTGTAGCATTTAATGGTGTAGAACTCTAAAATGTAATGTTCAGTAAGTTTGAATTTATTAATGATTAGCCATATGTGTTGTTGTGGTAAGAAGTGAAATACTCTGGTTTATTCTAAAAAAATTATTCTAATCATATAAACTTGATTCAGGTAAGCATCAGTGAAAAACGATCAGTGCTTGAGTTTTCTTAACCTGTCTCCCATTTATGTGAACATACTGGATGTTACATTGCTCAATATATAGATGTATACAGAAGAGTCCTAAAGGGAATTTTAAAATGCTATAGTTTTAGTAAATACAAGGAGATACTGTTCTGAAAGGCTGAATGTAACCATACTTTGTGGTAGGAGACATTGATCACCTTTCAGAGAGTAACTTTTACTCTTTACAAATACATAGTATGATTCAGGATTGTTTGAAGCTCTGTGGGCATAATAAAATAATAATTATTATTATCATTATTTTAATAATATTACTGACATTTTCTGAGCACTTAGTTTGTGCCTGATGCATCTTGAGAGCTTTATCTCCACATTATAGGAAGCAATTTTATTATCTGCATTTTTCAGAAAAGGAAGCTGAATTTTGGAGCAGGTAATTGAGAAGGTCCCACCACTAGCAAATATTAAAGCCTAGAGCTTAATGAAGGAAGTCTAATTTCAGTCTTTTGTGCTCTTAGCCACCATAATATTCAGTGTCCCCATGGAAATGTTTGTTAGAGTCCTTGCCATAGAAGACTGTATAAAACCCTCAAGTTTGTTACAAACCAAAACAATTTTTAGAAATGTGTAATAGATTGTGAGCAATAAGGTATTAAATTGTGGGGCCCAGCTACACTATGCACATTTGAGTCCAAGAGAGTGAAGTGAGTGAGAGATCTAGTAGACAAGGAAGATGCACAGAAAAAGTAAGATTGTGGGAGTCTTGAAGGATGTTTATAGTTTGGATAGGCAGGGGAATCAAGAATGTATTTCATGTTGGGGTGAAACATGGTCAAAAACAAAATTTGATTTCAAACCCCCTTCTCGTGATGGGCACAGGTGGAGATTCAGAATGATACCCCAACCACTCACCCTATTTCTTCATTGCACTATAAACAAGCCAACCTTCCATTAGACCCTAGGTCCTGCTTTACCTATAGAAAGTCCTGCTATGGACTGGGAAAAGGAAAGGGAATCCAAAGATCTCCAGCAGAAACCAGAACCTAGTTAAACAACTCTTTTGTGTATTTTATAAAAATCATGAGGTTTTCTGCAGTAAACACGCAATGTTAGCTGAGCCTTATTGTCCTCTCACAATTCAGCATGGACGAGGTGACTTTTTGGTGTATGAAGCTGAAGTGGATTGCCTTCATCTGAAATTGCAGTTTCTGATTAGTATCTTAAATGTTTGAATATTAATGAGTAGTCAATATACTGTAGAAGTCATCTCTTTTTAGTCCATCTTCATAACACAAAAAACACTATAGCAAAAACAAGTCAGGTGATCTTCCATGTGACATTTAATAGGAAGCTACTGAGTCCATTCAGTGAGGATTCACTCATGCTATCATCTCTATAGGTTTTGAATAGACACCACTCCTCTTTATTGACTGGGCGCTTCCCACATCTCTCTCTTCCATAGCCTAGGGAATGTGTTTGGAGCAAGTAATACCAGTTTTTCTTAACTCTCATCTCTTGCACTTTTATATCCTCCTGACATATTAGATGGTGGAAGGATACAGACATAATCAGCCTACAAATCAAGTATAGCTTAGTTGGAGGGATTTTTGATGGTTCATGGTTTCCATTCATGTCTGAATTAATATCTGTTTAGAATGCCCTGGCTCTTCCTATTACTAAAATGAAATTGTGATAAAATATCAAAGGTTTGGTTAAATCACCTTCTACCAGATAGGTGAGCTTTACAGAGTTACTGAAAAAAGAGGAACATAACTATGTTCATTCTTACCACACCTTTCTTAACACTAAGCCCACGTAAGACTTCCTTATATTTTGGGATTTCTGCCTATAGCCTGTGCATATATGAAACCTTAATAATGGTATTATTTATGGCTTATAACAATTTTATTTTCAATGTATCACATAATACCTCTTAGGATGGCATCCTGGGGGAGGACTAATATATATACTATACTAATAGCAGCATGTCTGAAGTCACAGAAGAAATTTTGGAGTGTTAGACTAGGAAAGATCCTGGAAATCATTCTCCAAGTCCAATCTCCTTATTTTGGAAATGGGGAAACAGACTTAGAGAAGTCAATTGACACATCCAAGAGCAATGAAGGATAACAGGATTAGAATGCAAAATATTGTCAGATAAAATATATTTGAATGGCTGGCTCTGTTTCATTGTAAACAGCAGCCAGCAAGGTACAAAGGTAGAGATGGCCTACCACTCTCACTAATTAACTTTATTCTTTAAAGATTAAATAAAAGAATCATTCAACATAATGAAACAACCCATAGTCTAATGTTCATTAGAAGCTATTAGGGCTTTCCCAAAATGGCATTTGACAATACCTATTAGAAATGTGACTCAGCCTACATATAGAGCAGCCAACCTTCATTAAGAAAATTATTGTTAATTATTATTATTTTTAGTGATTATCAAATTTCAAAATAAAGTAAAATAACTTCAATAAAATTTGGCAAAACCTAACCTAAGCTGCATATATTATTTTGTTTAAAATGATAGGGTACTTTGAATTTTTAATAAGGGAATCAAAATAGTATAAAAATTACATTTTATCATAAATAAGTAAAAAAAATCCTTGGAGAAATGTTTGAGCCCACTGAAAATGACTTTCAAGGATATTAATTTGAGAAAAGTTCAAGGAAAAAGTAGCCTACGTCTATGAAATTCCTAGAGGATAATAGGTCTTTAAAATGATATTTTCTAAATCTGATTTTTACAAATGTGGTGCTAATCATGCTTTGGCAAAACATTTGTTTATGCTCCTTGCATTTTTGATAACATTGCATAAAAACTGAAATATGTATTACTTAAAAATTATTGATCATTTTTAATTAAATTAAAATTTTCTACCAAGCAGTTTTTCAGTGACTGGCACAACTGAAGAGGGAATTGGAGGACCTTGCAGAAAGATAAGTCATCATGTACAAGAGAGATGCTTGTAGTCTATTTGAGGATTCCTACAGCCCTGTCCATTCACCTTAGACAACTTGGAAAGCATTTTTCTGTAGAAAAGTATCACAATGATTTCTAAAGTGCTCATTAGAGACTTTTTTTAAAAATCTTCATAGATGAAAATCTCTCTAATGTGTGTTTCTACCCCAAGATTTTGACCATGAGGGCTTCTGTAGTAAATGCCTTACAAGGAAAGGCCATGCTGCTCCCTCATTAATCTTGCCTCAAAATTTACTCCTGCTACTATGCACCTCATAGAGTCTCTGTGCCTCCAAAATGCTTTGAAACATCTATTTCCCTCCTGCAAAGTGAAGATTATTTAACATAGTTTGTTAGTAGGGACATAAAACTGAAGAGGGAGGAAAGAATTATATTCAATAGAACCACTGAGACTCCTTTATTTGAAGTTTGTTTTCCACCATATGTACCTGCTGGAGGTTTTACAGTCGGTTGCTTGAGTGACTGTGCTGTCTGTGTAAGAAAGTTTGGAATACTGCCACTTAAAGTTTCTTGGGATGAGCCTAAAGAAGGATTCTAGAAATAAATAAGTAAGTGAAATGCTAGAGGGAATTAAATCCCTAATGAAAATTTCATCAACCTAATTAGATCTGTGCTGCCTTTAATTACACTGAGAAACTTCCAGCACTAAAAATTTGGAAGATGCTAGGAGATGGATGACGTTCAGAAAATATGCAAGCCTTATGTAGGCATTTTCCCCACTGTGAAAAAACAGTTGGTTCTGACCTGTAATCAGCCAGATCTCCTCTGCCATTTGCAGGGGCCAGTGTTGTAATTTCCACAATGTACCAGTATCAGCACTGGAACAAGGTACACTATTACCTTCTTGCAAAATATTCCTTAGTTCCTATCTTTCTTCCTTTGAACAACAGAGAACTTTAGAAAATTGTGAAAGCTTCTCAATTTACCCTCTTCTGTGGTAGAACCAGCTCATCTAATGTGCGTTGTCAGGTGTTCTGTCTTCTTTCCCTCATTGCTCAGAGAAAAGTGTCTGTCTTTTACATGTAAGAACAAAAGTCCATGGCAGGGTTTGAATTTTAAGTTATATTTTTCCAATTTTGAAATAAAAGGCTTTGTGATCTGTTAGAGAAATCTGATGTAGCAGGAATGTCA